GGTATATCGAGCATGTTACAGAAGCGGCCACGGCGGGGGTATCCGGTCAAGCGGCTGCGGCGCGTTTCGCAGCTGGATGCCCCGCGGCGAAGCGCGACAGCGCAAGGCAACGCAACGCAAAGCAAAGCAACGCAATGCAAAGCAACGCAACGCGATGCAACGCGACGCAAAGCAATGCGACGCGATGCAGCGCTGCAACTCGCACTGCAATTGCTCTCGTCGCACCGTCACTGCCGCTGCCGCTGCCGCTGCCGCAGCCGCAGCCGCAGCCGCCGCCGCCGATCTTATTGATCTATGGTAGAACCATTAACCATCGGAGCGTGCACCGAATGTTTCGGAACTAATTTAAACTTAGCCGCTTCTCCGCCCGCGGCATACACGACGTCGAATTAAAGACTTCGCTCCATCGTACACGCCGCCGTCTGTACATTGATACGTGCGAGCGCCTCCGCCGATTAAAACGATCGCGACATGTTGTGATTCCGTTTGCGACATCTGGCCCCGTCGGATATTTGCCGGGGAGATATCGATGTATTTCAAGATCCTGCCGTCTGCCTGCTGCAACCCGAAACGCGTTGATCTTGAAATAATTCCGAAGATTGAGATTAATTAAATTATATACGATATAAATGGAATCGAATATCGTATATAGTAAGGGAATACAACAATTTTTATAGAAAACATGTTATTTTTTCCGAATTTTTTCTTTATATTTCTTTCTAATCAAAAGTTTAATGGGAGGACATCCATTGTCGCAATATTTTAATTTTCGTTATTTGATATTTTTTTTTTTAACCTGAATTTAGTAAATCAATTTTTGTGGAAAGAGAATATAGTATTTTATATATAGTATTTTATATCACCGCGCTAAGTGAGCGATGTAAAAACTGACACGTTGTTTAGTAAGATTGATCTCAATGCGTTTATATCGTGGTCATATGAGATAAAGTTTGAATATGTCCAGTTTTCTTGATCCGTTTTATATTCGAATTAAATGATGAAAATGTTAATTAAACGGATTTTCAATAGTTAATCATAACCTCGCCACTGGTATGAACACTCATACTGTGTTCCGTACTAATTAACTTTCGGATGCATACATCTAATTTTTTCGTGCACTTTCGATTTATTTTTTTCTCCCGCTGGCAGGCAGTTTTCAGACTGACCATAATCTACCTTTTTTGCGCAGCAGGGTGTATTTTTCGAAAATAAATTTATTCTTTTTTTTTTTTTCTAACTGCTTCAGCTCTCCTTCGAAATCATATAGTCTGAAGTTAGAAAAAAAACGACGTCCGAAGCATTGCGGTATCTGTAGAGTTTGATATACTAAAACCGGCAATAATTTTATGAAAATCAAGGGTTGCTACCGAGGTACGTGCCGCACAGACGACGGGGCGCGCTTAGGTAGGAGAAGAATGGACGAGGACCAAGGCATCGTGCAACGGCATATAGTTACAAGTATATTATGGTTTCTCGGCTTAAACTGGATTTCAAACGCGCGCAAGCGTTATCGTCCCAACACACTGTGATTGTTGGGGAAGACCGCGTATATACGCACCAGAAAGGCACATGCGGTATTCAGCTTAAGGATATAGTATCTGTATCTAATCCTACTTTGGACTGACGCATCGTCGTCAAGACGAAAAAAGGGAACCTTTGGAAACTCCATATTTTTTACTCAAAAAATATGCTTAATTATATTTTAATAGTATCGTATGAAGAAAAATTATATCAAAATATTCCCGCGTGAAAAAAAA